GTTGAAAAAGTAGGGTTTTGGTTTTTTGGAGCTCTTATCCTTGAATATCCGGTAGTAATTTTGTAGATGTCTGTTATTATATATTCCGACATAAATAATATCGAATTTGGACAAAGATTTTTTCGAGCACAAATCTCTTAACTATATCATCTGTATCATGTATCTTTCTGATTCTTCTATAGACAACAAAATACCTTCAAAAGGGTCTCACACATATCCACCAGAATTCAAAATAGTCTATGCCTAGCATTTCGATTTTTGTATTCACATTATACCTTCGTAAAAGATTAGTTTTTCTTATAAGAATCAGGTAAAAGTAAACGAATTTTTCTTCTAAGTATTCAATCGAAAATGTTAATATTTTTGAAGTCCAAGTTCAAATGAGAAAGTTGAACGCTTTTTATTTTCTGTTTTTTTTTTATTGAGCAATATTCATTTGAAAAGATGGTTGTCTCATGTGTATGGCAAAGTAAGTTTTATTTATTTCATACTGAAATAGATGCAAAAAACTATTTTGGAACGTGGTGTTCTATTAACTATCAGTAATTGAATCATCGAATAGATGTGTACTGAATGTCTCATTGTAAGTCGTTGTCTATTTTTCAGCAATTCCAATCATCTCAAATCATACTAAAATAAATATCGATTTGAGTACTGCATATGAAATGAATTTCATTGAATAAATATAATTTTTTTCTTCTTTGCTGTTATCCTTCGTCCACTTTTCCTATGAATATTGTATTGCAGCTATGTGCAATCTTTCTCATAGTGTTTGTTTGATCAAAATTTTAAGAAGGACGAATAAAAAAGAGGCAAACGTAGACGGCAACGAAAGATCAAATACCTGACTCGCGGCAAAAGTAAGACACGAATCATTCAAAAAAAAAACAAGCCGACAGTGTCAGACGCCAAAAAACTTTATTGACAGAAACATATTAGTAAATTTACACAGAACATTTTGGCTTCAATTACTTTACTGTGGTGAGTAAGTTATTAGAAAGAGTCGAACAGCGGGAAAAACCATTGTGAATGTAATATACTTGGTGTCAACGCGTCGGAATATTGGAAAAAATTGATACCAATACAACATTGACATCCATGATCGACTTTATTTAAGCCGATCGAATTGCTAATGTATGTCAGTTATCGCTCTCTTTTATTCACTATTTCGTAGCTGTCTCATATTTGTTTGATAGTTGCATTCATCTGAATTCTACGATGTGGTCTATATCTAACCTGCTTTTTCTACCGCTTTGTCTTTTCTACTCTATTCATTAATTTCAGTTATTAAAGGGATAAGAAATGGCCATCCATATAATATATCTGCGAGTTTAATGAGATCACGTATTAAAAGGACACGAACGCAATCATAAACTTTGCGAACAGGTAATTATAATAGAGAAAAAGGTTTCGATTGCGAACCAATCTGCACAGATGAAGGTCAAACCATGTCCGGTAGAGAGCGATATAGATGACAATAAAACGAAAATCTACCGGCCATGGCAAACTTTATAACATTGATGGTAGAAAACTTCGATTCATTGACCGATGCTACAGAGCTAAAGATAGTTCATAGAAGTGATTCAGAAAAGCTTTGAAGAATAGAGAAACTTGTCCGAGTAAGAGGTGAAACCTTCAAATGGAATGCGAAAAAGTCCTGCTCTGATAAACAGGGGTGATAGTAAAAGCGCAGAAGTTGCAATCATCCAGTCATTCAGCAGAACATGAGCGAAGAGTTTCAGGTGACATTGAAAATCATGAGAATGACGACGACATATTTAAAGTCACATTAGGCTAGTGAGACGGCCTGAGAAAAACACTCAGTCTACCCATCAATATGTCCAGATCAGGATGTGCAATGTTAGACACCGCAAAATCATATACTGAAAGGCAATCAGAAAGCAGCAGATCACTCATCAATTCGACTAAGTGCCCTCGAAGGATATAATATCACATTGGAATACTCAAGACTTACATCAATATTCTTAGGATCACAGGCGAATGTACTTATAAGAAGAGATAAAAAGAGCATAAGACGAACCATCAAAATGTGTTTGTGATGGAAAACGAAGTCGCAGCAAATATCAATGTGTTTCGTCAATAGCAAACACTTTTGGGTCGATCATAATATGAACAAGTCAGAAAACTGGTACCTCACCCATTCATCTACCATGGTAACGGGAATCACTTTCTAACCACAAAATGTATCTATCAAGATACCTTGTAGAGTTTCAAACATTCGATGATATGTAGAAGATATCATGAAAATCTTCAAGCTAGCCATTAATGCATTTCTGTGACGATAAAAGCTTGCCAGCAACAGAGAAACGTGTTAGCAAGGTACAAGAACCTCGAAGAACCTATCCGATCCTATTTTAAAGGTAGTAGAAACTTGTGGAGGAAAGATGAATGCTTCAGTAGAGCCACGAAAAAACAGCAGCATATCCACTGAATATGTTTGAATGACAGCAAAAACATAACAATCACAGAGGAATTATCCAGGCAGACAGATAAACGCTAAAACGCCATTTTGATGCATTGGAGGTGAAAATAGAGGAAAACAACGCGTTGCAACTAGCTCACTCGGAAAATGGAAGAAATGAACGAGTTTCAACGCGTTTAACTTTTTGTTAACGCATTTTAACGGATTGAAGAAACGTAGTAGGACAAGTAACATGTTTTAACGCATTCAATAGAATAAGTAGAGAAATGAATGCATTTTAACATGGAAATACATTCGTTTTAACCAATTAAGGAAAGTGCATGATAAGATGTAGAATCAATGTCATGTTTCAGAAAGTACAGTTGTGCGTGAGTAAACACGATGATGCATCGATCAATGTCAGTTTCGGTTACTCTTAGACAATAATTTGAATTTTTTTTTATTATTTGTATATTTATGAATGTTTAAATTAGTGACTTTTAGAAAGTATCAGCTTTCTTCTTCAGTGTTTTCAATAAAAAAAAAACAAAATGACAATTGCAAAATTGTCTATACATGTTCTTTTTTTTCCTTCTTTTTCCTATAATGTTGCTATGGAAGTAGATGAATTCTAACTCATATCGTTCAGCATTACTATCCTGTTCCTTTCTTTTGTACTTGTATTATAAGAAAAAAGATAAAAGAAAAAGAGCAAAAATATATCGGCAATTGTGACCTTGCCATTTTGTTATGTTTATTTCATTTTAATTGAAAAGACTGAAATCAAAAGCTGATATTTCCGAAATGTCTCTAAACTACATATTTACAAAAATATATAAATTAAAATTTAAAAATCAATAAAAATTTAAAAAAATTATTGTGAAATAATAATTGAAATTGAACGAATCACAGTGGTTATTCAATAAGACCAAAAAACTATCGAAAAAATATTTATTTAGAGTTGTTGTAGTTATAGAAATGTTAGTTTGCTTTCCCGGAGTTTTCATTTCATATAAGTAGAAAATTTAATTTATCTAGAAACACGTAAGTATAGTCGCATAGTAAGTTAGACGACTCGTAATTATAAGACTCTTCGGTCGAATCTATACCAAAGTACAAAACAAAACTAGCTAAAATGCATTCTCAACAGTCCACAATGCACAACGAACGCGTCACGATGAATTCTTTTTTTCTTTCATTGAACGCGTTTCCAACAGTCAAAAATGTCTGAATTTTCGCGTTTTAACGCTCAGGTATCACAAACACATTTAAATGCTTTCTTTTTCTTTCGTTCTAACGATGCGAAAGCTTAAAATATTGCGATTGTTAAAACACCCAAATTCGGACATTTTTGACTGTGTAAAATGCGTTCAAAGATAGAACGCGAAACGGTTGTTATAACGCGTCAAATTAACTTTTCTGAATGCCTGGGTATTACCAGCAAAATACATATAACCGGATAAAATTGAAAACTATGATTCATTAATTGATGTCATAGGAAAAGGAATTTGTCATGTGTCAATAAATGATCTTGTTCGCAGAATCAAAATTTGGTCACACAAAATATTGTTCATTTTTATAACAAATGGTACATGCATAACAAAATGTCTTTTATACATGGTATTGATTTTTACGCTATATATTTGTGATATATTTTGTTTTTCCTTGAATATAACATATTAAGTGATTGAAAATTGAAATGCAAAGCGTGAGTATTTAATCTTCTTTATCTGTTACTTTTCACTTCGACTTGGTAATATAATGAATTGCTTATCGGTGGTACTATATCTCATATTTATTGCATTCGATCATATAGAGAAATCGATTACATTGAGAACGAAAATAAACAAATGCATTGCTTTACGCGTGTTGTCTATCTTTTACATGGATTGCTCTTATGTCAATGTCTAACAGTCGACGAAGATGTTGTTGCACTAGGCAAGCTCGATCACTTGTTAAGGATTAATTCTCCATCTGTAGTTCGCCAGGCTATGGAAGCAATGTGCGAAATGGTAGCTGAATGTTGTCCACAAAGCGAACCTTTACTTGCTAAATTTCTCGACAACCCGTTTGAGTTTCCTGACTTCTGTTTTGGTAAGCGCGATTCATCTGAAACATGGGTTCGTATACGTGCTTGTGC